CACGTCCTGGTTAACAACGAGTCCGCCGGAGCTTAGTTGTGCAGAAGAGGCGCGGCGCTGGTGCTGATCTAGAGCGCGCCGGACGCTGCGCTCGTCACTGCAAACGTCGCACCGTCCCCCACACTTCGGAATCTCCTCACCAAAATACTCGGCAAAAACTTTGTGTCGGCACCTATATCATCATCAAATAATTATCAGATGTATATTCAGTATAGTCTAAAAAATAAGTTACAATGAAAGTAATTAAATATATATAAAACAACATACTTGATATCTTCACAATATTTCACCATAATTTCAAAACTCTTGTAGGCGACCTTACACCTATTTTTTTGCTCAGGTGTTTTAGACCGTCCTACTTCACTTTTAAGTAAGAAATCAACAGCATTGCGTTCACTGCGGCAGTAGTAAATACGGCAAAAAGCTGGTTTGCCGTCTCGACCAGCTCTACCAGATTCCTGTGATTTAAAACATCAGCTTAGATATGACATCGACATTGTATAGGCACTTTGACGAGTAAGCGAAAAATCGGTACGCAGCTTTTTGTTGCTAGTTTGAATAATGTTTAGAGTTATAATTGAGTTTTTATTACACATAACTAAGTATATAAAAATAGTAATGATTCTAACTTGATAATACGCGGCGACATTTTGGGCGATACCCCAGTGAGCAACGGCGCGTACGCTCGCTTTATCGACCCCCATGCCAAACGAAACTGTTGCGCACACACAAGGCACTTCGCCTTGTGACCATCGTTCTTGAACTGATATACGTTCTGCAGATTTCATACCTAGAATATTCAGAACATAGGGGTTAACGTGAATATTAGTGCTATAGCTTCTTCTAACCACATAACTATAAATGGATAAACAGAATTTAAGAGTAAATAGATACAAGAGAGTTTAATAAATGCTAGATAAATTTCCCAAATCTATTCACCCATTAAATTGAAATCACCCCGTTTTAAGGTAACTAACAAAGACTGCAATGACTTTACAATTTTATTTATGTTATCTTGTGAGAAAGTGTAATTCACAATCTACCCAATGGATTTAGATAAATATTATCATACTGATATACTATGTAAATAAATATAGATGTACTAACAGACTATATTATATACAATAGATAATGCATAAAAAAATATTGTTTCTTTTTCATATTATGCATAGTAAACTGTTTACCTCCATGATAAGCTAAAGACATTAGACCTCTTTTTGTCAACATATTGGCTAAATCTTCAGTTTGCTCTCTGGTTCGACAATAAACTATAGCAGCATTTTTATCTTTCTGCAATAAAATTGTTGATTATATTATTTTATGTGAGGGTAGGTAGCTAACATAACTAAAAATATTGTTTATTCTTACAGGTCTGACATTTTCATCTTCTTTCAAACTTTTTTTTAAGAATTCTGTCAGGTGACCCACTTCGTCATCTATGCAATTTTGATATATAACATCATAGAATAAATTTCTTCTGAAACTTGGTGTTTTGTATTGTGCCACAGGTAATAACAGCTTGAGATTAGACAATATATCCTTTGCAACTTCAGCACTTGCAGTCGCTGTCAGGGCAACCCATGGTACACTTTTATACTGTTCTCTGAGATTACCTAGCTTCAGATAATCTGGCCTAAAGTCATGGCCCCACTCACTTACACAGTGAGCCTCATCAACAACAACATATGACAGCTTTTTATATTTCACAAGATGCTCCATAAGAGATTTAAATGTGCCTGTAGCTGCTTGTTCAGGTGTTACATACAAAAATCTAGTGTTTGGTTTCATACTTCTTAAATCATTAAGAACTCTCTCTCTATCTTTTGATGTCATTTTAGAATTAATAGATTCAGCATTAATTTTTATTTTAGAAAGGTGATCAATTTGATCTTTGATAAGAGCCAATAGTGGAGAGAATACGATTGCCACTTTATTTTCCTGCAACATTGCAGGCAACTGGAAGCATAGAGACTTTCCAGAGCCTGTAGGCATTGAAACATATACATCGTGTACTCCTGAAATGAAAATAAAATTAGTTAGAACTATTCCAAAGTATATGTAGGTATATCTATTCTGGATCTGGTAGCTATTTTGGTAGCTCAATGTCTGCAGAATTCAGAAAGAATGAAACATATTGCGTTTTATTATTTTTCTCCATCGATTAGTGTTAATAAATGCCTTCAAACTTTTGATTTATTATATATAAACTCGTATATTTTACCTCTTGCAATTGCTCTGATTGCACGTTCTTGAAGTTCACTTTTGAACTTTCGATGTCCAAAACACTGAAACAATTTTTCTGTTACGCTGTCCATTGTAAATTACTTTTAGCTTCTCCAATGTTTAAAACAACTAGGGCACGTATAGTGTAAAAACTTTAAACCATATCGAGTTCGAAAACATATTTTGTATAAATAAAGTATTTTTAAAAATAAATAACGAAAAAACAACCTCAAATTATTTGTATCCAAAATACAAAAGTGACAACGAACTGACATTGATTGATTAAACTTGACAGTTGACACTTCCACTTTCACAAAGATTAGTCCAAAGACTACAGAAATATCTCAGGATATGGGTACAACAAGGTAGGTACAATATGTAGGTTGTACTCTAATAATTTGACTATTTCAGCATAATATTTGTGGTAATGAATAGAAAACTAGAAAGAATGCATGGTGAACATGGTGGCTCAGTCTACCGTTCAAAAATACTGACTTGTTGCCAAATCTAGGGGCAGAATAGGAGTAAAAAGTATCTAAATCTTTACAAGCTATTGAGCCAAGGCCTCTTCTCATACAGATAAAGTTTGAGCATTTTTAATTATAATGCGAAATTATAAGTCGATATTTCCTCACGATTTTTTGACACCGATTGTTACTGTTCTGCGTGATGTTTATTTTATATAAAATAAACATAGAAGGCACCTATTTCGCATTTTATTTTATAAAGAAAAAGATTGCTTACCCCTGTTCGGAAATCTACGTAAATAATTAAGTAGGTACTCAACCTTTTTTTGAGGTGAAAAGTTCGGATGACTTCTTTCACAACCCGTTCCTTTTCATGGAGAGCGCTTTTAAACACTACGTACGCTACGCTACGTTGCAATGAAATGTGATTAACGCCACAAAACACAAACAAATTAAAGAAAAGAGCGATATCGATGCTTCCGACAACAAAGGTCGTAAACACCAAAATAGCACTTTTGGTAATCAACGAAAAACAAAAAATAATTTCGTTTTTGGCTTATATCTTTTTAACTTTAAAAGTTGTAAAATTGTGTTCTATACAAGAAATACGTAAAATACGATGGTGTTTCATAATATATTATTGCTATTTATGTCAAAGCCTTATTTTAAAAGTTAGCTTGGACATACACCCCAGAAAATTCAAGAAGTTGGTATTTACGACCACTTACAAATCAATGGAGAACGATTTGTCTAACGGAAGTTAGAAGTATGAACCAGTTTTTAAATACAATAGTTCTGGGTTTGGTTTTAAAAACCATATACTGAAATAAAAATGAGTGTAAACACCACGATCTGATGCGATGGTATGTAACAAACATGGAAATATCTGAAGCGAAAGTCTATAGTCCTTTCGACTGGCAGGTCCTAAAGGTATAAAAATACACTTAAGTAAGTATATTATAGGCATCTTCCCGTATTTAATTAAATCAAGCGTTTGTTACAAGATGCCTATAGTGTTCTACCTCCAACGACGTACCTAACCAACCAGACATAATTCAAAATGTTAAGTAATCATTATGTTTCATGGATTTCAAGAAGATTTTATAATCACGACATTTTTTTAAAACGTGTTGTTAATGAATTACAAAAAAATATAAGTAAATATTCTACCAAGCATTACTGCTCTAATAATTTTAATAAGCAATGTCCATTTTCACCAACGCCCTTAAAAATTTAGGTAGTTCATCTTTCTAGATCTTGTTTGTTCGGAAAGCTTCTGTACTATGGTCTAAACCTAACTTTTAGAGTCGTTGGTGTAAATGGAAAAGTGTTATCGACAAGATATTGAAAAAGTAGATGCAAAAGATAATACGACGACGAATTATAGAAAATCAGGTCTTCCAATTTCTGATTAATATAATCTTCTGTCATTGGATAGAAGATTATTAACCAGAAATTAATCTTCTGTCATTGGATAGAAGATTATTAACCAGAAATTTGAAGACCTGATTTTCTGATAGAAGATAATTAATCAGGAATTTCATCTTCCTCGTCAGTCTCAGGAAGAGTATCAATGACAATACGAGACTGACTCTATTAAAAAATTAGGAGTACGGTGAACGTTTAAGTGTGGGAGAGCCATGCCTCAGCACGAATGGGTCGGCTCGACCGGAGTGATACCACGGCCTCACAGAAAACCGGCGTGAAATAACCACCGCGTTGTTTCGCAGTGTGAGTGAGGTTACCGGAGGCCCAATCCTTCCCCTTCCCCAATCCCTCCTCAATCCCTAAATCTCCAAATCCCTAATCCCTAAAAGGTCGGCAACGCACTCGTAACTCCTCCGTTGCGAGTGTCCATGGGCGGCGCTGATTGCCTACCATCAGGTAATCCGTCTGCTCGTTTGCCGACCTATTACATAAAAAATATAAAAAAATACGACCTACATAATTCATTTTTCAAACAAATTCTCCAAGACCGAGTGTCATTACGACAATTGTTTCTCAGCAGAGCTTACGTTTTAAAAATGATTGTGGGGTGTAATTATTGGTGTAAATATTACGTTGTATTATACGACCTGCACGGTTATTCGGTTCTAAGCAATATGAGTTATACATACCCTCTTTTCAAAAAAATCTTGATTATACTAGTACAAATTTTGGGTGTAAAAGTATGTTTTTTTACGCGAATATTTTTTTCACATTTATAGATCGACGCAGCGCCAAAAATTAAGTAGGGCTGCATTCTTAACTCATTTTCGCCAAAATGGCGTTTACGACATTTGTTGCCGGAAGCATCGATATGTTTTAATGCAATTCCATTTTATTTAAAAATCATTTAATACTTAATATACTTGAAAATTATACACGAAATAATATAGTATGACTGCTAAAAAAAGAACGAGAACAATTTTACTATACATAAATTATTCATCTAAATCTAAAAACAACTTTTTTGGATAAACCATAATTATTAGTACGATATCACAAAAACGACTTATGACTGTTTGCGAATATAGTTCTATTTTTTTACAGCCTTACCTATATAATAAGATATGGGGAGAGCGGAATGGATGTGACTGCTTGTAGTCTGTCTCGGAAGATCACTAGCCACAATTTATTTTAATTAATTGTTCGCAGAAATATTTACTATATTATATGAGTTTAATTATAAGCCATCGGCGCCGCCCGTGGATAACTGCAACATCAGATAAGTTAGAAGTGAGCTTTATTGACTGCAGGTAACCTCACGTTCACGACAATACAGAACGAAGTGGATATTTCACGCCGGTATTCTTATATGAGGCACAGGTATCACTCCGGCCGAGCTTCAAATTCAGAGTTTCGCGATCTGCTATCCGAGAGTAGGATTTTACAAGGTATCGCTATTCTATTACTTCTAAGATCATATTCGACCGTAGACGGTATTGCGCCGTTGCGCCTAATTTTCAATTGGTCACGTCAATATATGGTCGAGATATTCGCGTTTTGTACTTACTACGCACCCAGAATTGGTATGTATATGTGTATAATGGGAGCAAATAGAGCAGCCGCAATAATTGGATGTCGCTTCATTGTAAGATTTACTTTGGGCCGGCGCTGCTCCCGCAATTTAAAATTTACTTGCAGCCAATTTGAAAAATCGTGTCGTCTGTAGAGTAACGTGACGTGACCACACACTGCCGAGGAACAGATATTGCTACTTACAAATTTATGTTTCAAATATACATTTTATTTTAATTTAAATCAAAAGTCTACATTTCAATCATACAAATAACAAATCTATAATTTTTATTGACATTTTGATCTAACTTTGACAAATAAGTTCAGTCTACCTTTAGTCATGCATTAATTAATTATAAAAATAATTATTTTATCTTACCTACCTAAAACAAAATGAATACTTTATAGAAAATAAAAAGAAATGTCGGCACAGCAATCAATATGACTAACCTTTTTCATCAGTCAAAACATTCTCATAACTTTATGTCAATTATACTCAAGAAGTTCATAAGAAATAGCATTTTTTCTATTGTAGTACTTATTATATACACATAAACTTAGGAATTACATTGATTGATCCAATTTTAGGTATAAGTTTTTAGAGAAGCATACATGGATATAAAAAAAAACATTTGCGATTATTATAAATACTTCAAATTTTGCATTTTGTCACATGGGAAACAAAATAACATTAGTTAAGATACTTTTGATTCTAGTAAACAACTTTCATACGGCATTTTACTACAAGTTTGATATCGATGATAAAGCACAAACCAATGTAACAGTTAAAGACAAATATTTAATATTTTGGTGTATAAATGCATTCACCCTTGTACATTTCTCTTTTGGATGGCCATTCAGTCTTACTAGAGCAACTGGGCAAAATATAATCTGGTAGATGCTCGTTGCTTCATGTCGTAATATCGTGTTAGGAGTCGTGTGTGAGTCTAGGATCCGTAGACGAGTTGGTAGAGATGGGAGGAGTGGTCAGCGAGCGCGAGGTCGGGCGCGCGGATGTCGACGGCGCGACCAGCTGCCAGTACGAGGACGCGCGCGGCGTGCAGCACGCCGGCCGGCCGGTGCGCCACCTGCAACACGGTGCTGCCGCCGAACGAGCAGCGGATGGCGTCCACGATCTGCCGCTCCGCTTCATTATCCAGGTTCGCTGTCGCCTCGTCGACTAGCAGTATCTGACAACCGAGATCACCCGATAATTACGCGGGTATTAACGCAAAAGTTAGTCGAGATCACCAGAGTTAGTTTAGTTATTTTATAATTTTTTGTTGTATTTTATTATTATTTATATTAAAGGCTTAAACAACTTAAGCACCAGTACAAAATAATAGTATGGAGAAAGTTTTGTTCTAGACCTACAGCATGAAAATAATGATCACTAATGCATTTCTACCAGTCTATCTTAGGGTGAGATAGACACACGTGGGTGCAATAGCTATAAGAGCAAGTGGTTATCATCAACACATACCTAAAAATACGTATCTCAAGTATTAAAAGTGCATATTACCTACCTAATAATCATATGTATCTCAATTATCATAAGGCAGAAAATGTTCAATTTCGTAAGAACGTTTCAAACAGTTATTGAAGGAAAGTTGTCGAACAATAATGTACCTTAGGTCGGTGCAGTAAGGCCCTGACGACGCAGAGTAGCTGCGCGTGTCCGCGGGAGAGCGTGGCGTGTGCGGCGGGCGCGCGCAGTCCGGCGCGCGCGTCGACGAGCGGGCGCGCGCCGCACGCGTCCAGCGCGCGCCACACCTCGCCGTCCAGGTACTGCCCCAGCGGGTCCACGTTCTCACGTACGCTGCCCGAGAATATGAACGGCTCCTGCGGGATCACGCCTATACGCGACCTGAAATTTATTTATTTCAACTTCATGCACAACCGAAGTGTGGGAGAGTCACGCTTCGGCACGAATGGGTCGGCTCGACCGGAGTGATACCATCACAGAAAACCGGCGTAAAATGATCACATCGTTGTGTTTCGCCTTGTGAGTGAGGTTACCAGAGGCCCAATCCTATTCCTCTAAAAAAATCTTCAAATCCCTAATCCCAAAAAGTCGGCAACGCACTCGTAACTCCTCCGTCGTTGTGGGTCTCCATGGGCGACGCTAATTGCTTACCATCAGGTAATACGTCTGCTCCTTTACCGACCTATGACATAAAAAAACATGCATAAGGCGAACTTAATGCAATGAGCATTGTCTTCCAATCTACCTTTGAGTAATGAAATTGTATCGTCCACCATATTAATACCTGTCAAGATCATAATGTGAAACACCAAGCAAGCAAACACTTGATATAATATCGACATTGTATTCGGACTCTGCGTTGGAAGACTTAGGACGTTATAATTTGATAATGATAAAACATTTCTTATGCCCTTGCAGCTTCTGTACTTTTACGATTATCATATGTATAGGATTTTAATATGATTAGCATATAGATAGTTTTCAAATGTAATACCTGAGTGAGTGTAAATGCAGTTTAGAGATGTCGACTCCATCAATAAGAATACGCCCTCGAGCGAGCGGCGCCAGTCGAAGTAGGGCTGTGAGGAGAGAGCTCTTGCCGGCTCCCGTGCGACCGACCACGCCGAGCTTCTCGCCCGGATGAGTCGAGAATGAGACGCCATTCAAAGCCATCACACCATTCTCACGACCGCTATAAATAAAATGTACAAAATTAATTCAGTTCATGGAAAATTTTCACAAATCTCCCAGTAAAATAACTTAGATACGAACTTATCAAGCAAATAGTAGCGATTAAAGTACTAGGAAACATAGTAATCATGGAACAAGATTTTACAAGATATTGAATAGTAAAATTTGATGTAGGTATGCCTTACGGTCGAATCTATTGGATCCATCGTTTACTTAACACCATATTTCTGTACCTATATTGATAGCAAATAAATAAATTCAGTACCTATATTTCAGGAAAACATCTTCAAATTCTATGACGCCTTGAGAAGGCCAGCCGTATGGAGGTGGGTCACCGTCAACTTGTTCACTTTCCACCTGCAACAAATACGACAAATATTAATTAATATTATGACTAATTTTCAGGACTGGTCCAATTAAACTGTTGTGGTTACGGAATGAACTTGAAAAGAAACGGACCTCGAAGTTTGTATCTTTATTTGTTCTCAGACTAGTCCGATGTTTTTGATGGAAAATCTTCAACTACTTTTTACATATAATATTGACGTGTGAGAATGCTGTTTTATGGCCTATTTATAAAAAATAATTAATTGTTTCATTATTAACTTGAGAAAGTTCTTTTTACATACCGTCTTGATGTACTCGCCGACACGCTCCACAGCTATCATTTCCCTCTCAGTTTCCGTGAAAGAGTTCAGCAGGTTACTTAGCATTGATGTCATCGACAACGCGTAGGAAATGGCGAGACCAATGAGACCTGTACATGTGTATCAAAAATATAGTTATCAAAAATTTTATTATGTAAAAATGTTGTGAGAAGGTAGTGCTGATTTGGATGAAAGTGCTTTTCTTTGGATTAAATAATTAATGAGTTTGAATTACACATTTTAATGTGTTCAAGTAATAATCTGAGAAAGTGTCATAAGTCAGTGTATGGCCGTTGTCATCATTACCACACTAGGATATTGTTCGGTGACTTAGGTAAGTTTACATACAATTTGATATACACATCACAGACCCAGAGTACCATTTTATAGATGACGCAAAGAATTGACTACTTATCTTAGTGAAAAAGAAATTATTTCAACATATAAGTAAAACCATAAAAATATCCAAAAACATTAATTTTATGATATACATACGTAATATTTATATTTTCATTGATAAAGTATGCTGTTTGACGTTAAAATAGTATGACGTCACATCGTGTCATTTTAAGATTTATAAAAACGAATTTTTATTTTGACATTTCGATTGGAAACTGTCCTATTGCTCATAACGAATGAGGATGAATAATGACAGAAGTAGATGATGGTAAATAAGAGACCTGGGTCGGCGGCGTGCATGGTCCGCTGCAGTACGGCGAGCAGCGCGGCGGCGGCGACGACGGCGGCGGCGGCGGCCTGCAGACGCAGCGCCAGCCACTGCGCCGCGGCCGCCGCGCCCAGCGCCGCGCGCTGCCACGCCTCCACCAGCTCCGCGCCGCGCGACATCCACGCCCCGCCCGCGCCCAGCGCACGCACTGTCTCCTGACCTACACACGCGACTCCACTCTCTACACTGCTTCAGCACGAATAGGCCAGTTCCACACACCAAATTATACATTCCCATCTCCAGCCTTATAGAAAACCGGCTTGAAACAAAGCTTCTATTGTGTATCGGAGTGCGAGGGATGGTAACCCATAAGGTCCATCTTCCCACCCATTCGGTAATGGACGATTCAGCACCCTTTTCGTACCTGGATACAAAAAGGCTGTCGAATCTTTTATGTGACTTTCTTGTAGGTCTGACGCTGATTGCTTACCATCAAGTCAAGTCAAGTTATCCAAATACAACAACTTTGTCATCCTCTCCCTTAAAAAACAAGCTCATGTTACGATAGTAAGTATTAATTTCTAAGGAATAACAACCGGCATCACGAAGAATTCTAAGGTGAGTAATTGACTGACCGTCTAGCGTGTCACTGAAGTGCGTGTAGACAGGCGAGAGAGTGACGCTCTGCAGGCGCTTGAGTTGTCGCGAGGTGACGCGGTACCGGCGCTGCAGGCGGTAGTACACGAACGACAGCGGCACCACGCCCGCCACCAGCCACGGCAGACCGTACAGCGTCACCGCCACCGCGCCTTCAACATAATATACATTCATTTACTTTAGCTTTCGTAAAGTACGTTTTTTGTTAGGGGAAAATCTTCTAATGACTTCTCCAGGGTGAGGCGAGAAGGAGTGTCAGACTCTTAATGACTAAAAACCCCGACCCTTGTCCTGCTTTAGGCTGAGGCCACGGTAACTATTGCGCTAGCCCCGCAACCCAGACTAAGGTAAATTAGTTCAATTTGCTGACTTGTAACGTGTCTATTATTTAGCCTGTTCACAAAAATAAACAATCATTTCGTCGTGTCTAAAGTCAGCCATGTGTTTCTTAAAACCAATTTTAAGTTACTCAGCTGTCTTGTATTTAAATTGAATATTACATATGTTTAAACTTAAACAAATGATTACATATTAAGTACCTACTTATATGTAATATATGGAATTTGGAACTTCCAATACTTACCAATTAATGAGAATGTTTGAGCAAGCAAAATGTTTAGTATAAACGGCAGAGAGTCATCTACTGTGTAAGTATCTGATGAAAATCTGTTTACGATGCGCCCCAGAGGCGTTATATCGAAGAATTTAACTTTGGCCTGAAATATAATAAAATCATTAAGTATTGATTTTGAAATTATAATACATATATTTAAGATTATTAAGGCATGAGTATTATACGTACTTTGATGATGACTTTAAGTAAAACTTTGTGAATTCTTGTTGCCGCTTTGACGCCGCCATAAGCAAACAGGAAAGCTCGCATGATCGTAAACACTAAATTCAGTGCCGCCAATCCAAAATACACTTCGAAGTAAAAATTATCCGTGTATGTTGGCGTCACATTTGCTTTTAAGTCTTGTAGCAATTGTATCTGTGGGCCTTGAGAAGTACTTTCAACGTTTTTGTTTTCTAGAAGATTTTTTGTTGCATTTATAATAGTATGTATAACGTTGTCGATAGCTAAGACTCCATGATCCAGAATGTTTGTTTTCTCTGTTGGGTGTTCTATAAATTCCGGTTCTTCAAGTGACGTTGAGTTTTTAGTTTTGTTTTTAACCCAATACGTGAGCCAAAGGAAGGTGAAGTTTTGTGATAGTTGCATGAGTACTAAAGAAAGTATGATACTGATCGAGAGGAATACTCCGACCGACCGTAGGTACATGCCAATGACCCACCAACCAACAGTGCCCTGTGACATCGATTCCTGTTGAAAACAGAAAAATAAGCGTTTTATTTAGGATAATTTTTGGGTTCCAATTACTACATAGTATAAAACAAAGTCGCTTTCTCTGTCCCTATATCCCTTTGTATGTTTATATCTACGCAACAGATTTTGATGCCGTTTTTTAATAGATAGAGTGTTTGAAGAGGTTTATATGTATAACGAGCGAATAGCTTCACTAAGAGGACTGACCGACAGACTGACACTTTGTATCTTTAAAGTTGTGTTGACGTTCAAAAGTGCATGTATGGGTCTAATTGAAATAAATGATTTTGACTTTGAATAACATTAATTAACTAGTGGAAAAATTTCTTATCAGTGTTGCACACGTGCGAAGCCGGGACATTGCTAGTTCTGAATAAAACAATGTGGACTGAACAAACCTCGTCATCCAAACTGTTTCTACTGATGGTGTCATTATTGTCCTGGGCGGGTTCTGGTGCACGTGGCGGCTCTTCTCCTAGCGATTCTGTCTCACTCGGCATAAACTCTTCGATGTCATTTAATACAGTTTCAGGAGGACCTATAAATAGATATTTATGATAAAATGCGCAAGATGGAAGAGTTTGTTAAACATAACTATTTACCTACCCTGACCAAAAAGAAAAAAGTTTCAAGTGAATATTTAGGACGTGATTAATTATTAAAACTCGAGTTGTAAACTGTCATTGGCTACCAATGATGATAGCCAATTTCACAACAGCATATTGAGCATAAGTATAGGAAATAATGTTACCCTGTCGCAGTATGCGTCCGTCCTCCATGAGCAGCATGTAGGAGGAGCGCGCGAGATGTCGCGGCGAGTGCGCGACGAAGACGCGCGTGGTGTGTCGCAGCAGGCCCAGTATGCAGCGCTGCATTATGTGCGCCGCCACCGCCCCGTCCACGCCCGCCAGCACGTCGTCCAGCAGGTACACTGCCCACACGACACACATATCTTTATATATAAAAATTTCGTGTCACGTGTTTGTCCGCGATGGACTCCTAAACTACTAAACCGATTTTAAATTTGATTTGCATTCCGTGTGCATTTTGATCCAACTTGAAAGATAGGATAGCTTACATCTCAATTCATAGTCACAATATTAGTTACCTTAGCCACAGCAACGCGTGGCTGGGTCTGCTAGTTTATTATAAAATATATTTTAAGTGTGGGAGAGCTACGCTTCGGCACAAATGGGCCAGCTCGACCGCAGTGATACCACGGTCTCACAGAAAACCGGCATGAAACAACCACAGCGTTGTGTTTCGCCGTGTAAGTGTGGTTAACAGAGGCACAATCCTTCCCCTACCTAAATCCTAAAATCTTCTTTTTCCTAATCTCCTAAAGGTGGGCGATACACTCGTAACTCCTCTCTAGCGGCGCTGATTGCTTACTATCAGGTAATACGACTGCTCGTTTGCCGTCCTGTCATAAAAAATATATAAACAAGTACAATTGCGATCTCATACAAATCTCAGAAAAGTATCGTTTTCGAGTTGGAAACTACCGAATTATGATATAATCGTGAAACGTAAGTGTTACTTAATTAAGAGCATTTTTATAAAAAACTGGTACCTAATGAAAAAACGTGATGTACATAATAATATAAAATCAAATTAATTAATTTACAATAGCCACATATAATTCAACTTCAAATGATGACTATTGTAGTAAAAATTGTACCTTGCTTATCCTGGTACACTGCACGCGCCAGTGCAATGCGCGCCCGTTGTCCGCCGCTCAACGTACAACCACCTTCTCCCACGTACGCATTCCATCCGATTATGTTTAAGTCCTCTATAATATGTAAATGAAAGAAAATAAAGTCATTTTAAATACATATCTTGTATAAAATAATGATTTAATAGTTTTCGTGTAAAACGTAATAAAAATGTTATAATTACCTGTAAGAGCACATGCATCAACTACATTCCGGAACTTAGCTTCTTCATACGGCTTGCCGAATAGTATATTATCGCGGATTGTACCACGTATCAACCAGGGTTTTTGAGAAACATATCCAAAACCTAAAATAAATAAATAAACGTATATTGAAAATTACTATTTCAAATAAATATTTATCATAGATTAGCTGAGTCGGCGAACTCTGCTGCCTCAAATATATTATCTATTTGTTGACTTTTTCAAATCTTCCCTGGACTCAAACGAATATTTCAAGACCAAAATAATCCAAAACGGAACAACCGTTTTCGAGTTTTAGCGAGACTAACAAACAACAATTAATTTTTACAAAGATATTAAAAAGATATTCTATGCAAGCTCAATCTAGGTACTTACTGGTAAGATTTTCAGGTATTTGTAAGTAGCCACTTTTCTTAATCATATCACCAATAATAGCATGTAGTAGTGAGGTCTTCCCGCTGCCGACGGGTCCAGTCACACCGATCAACTCTTCGTTACCGATTTCTAATGAGATATCTTTTAACATGAAAGGCTCATCTTGGATCAACTGTTCTGATGAAGATGTTGAATCTCGCCTCTGAATGTTACCTCTCGACAGTCTCTTTTTTGATTTCCCCTTATTTTTCTTAGATTTCTTTGGTGGTTTCTTTCTCTTTGACGGCTTAGCCCACGAGAATGTCGCGTTCTTAAATATAATTACTTTATCTTCATCGTGGTTCTTATTGAGACGGTCATAGTAAAGTTCCGCGTCCATATCTGGAAGCTAAATGTAATTTTTTATAAATACGACATTGACATAAGAGTGTACCTATCTCTTACAAAAGTACGAAATTAATTAAAGTGACTTACGTCCAGCAACTTTTGTATACGTTTTATAGACACCCAGGCTTCTGTCAGCCCATTCAACACCCATGGGAAGGCATTCAGTGGCGCTATTAACATGTTAATTAGCGCTACTGTAGTGAAAACCTGAAATGCAACGAAACATATTAAAATTTATACTGATAACAGTTCTAAAAAGTAAAAAAGTAGAAAATGTATGCTTACTGTGGGAGCATCAAGAGGAAGTCCTCTAAGCGAGTGCGTTCCTAATGTGAAGGCGGCTACGAGTACTGGCGTAGTGGCCCATAGGACCACACATATCGCGTCCAAATACTTACGACCACGCAAATATCGCAGTTCTTGACTTCGTGCCTCTAAAATGTGACATACTTATTTGTTAATAAAAATTGCACGTTAGAATTGAAATATCGATCTTCGAGTTAAAAGAATCTGTTAACATTACGAACCTGAAACTCTATTTATGAAGTAGTCCTCCCAAACGTGAACTTTTACCGTCCTTATACCTTTCAGCAAGTCACTGATTAAACTGACACGTGAGTCCTTGTGTTTCATCAATTCCGTACTGAGTTGGCCAATTTTATTGGCAATCATTTTATTGATCGGTATCAGAATAACAGAGAATGCCACTCCAGCAAGGAAAGATATTCCCACTTGTTGGTATAGAAGGAATAATGTTATGAATAGCTGCAATTATAAAAAGTAATTATAAATTTGAAATGTATAATAAGTTTATATATTATAAAACTGTAGTATACCAATTCCTCATTGATTCTTACCTGTAATGGTATACTCCACAATGCATGAAAACTTGGACATGAATTCACAATTCTGTCTGTATCAGTTGACATGAAATTGGTGATCTCACCAATAGAGAACACATTATTCAATTCTGTGGAAGTGACACTGAGTGTCTTCCTCAGGATAGTAGCCACGATAGCTCCGCGCATCTTTAGGCCCACAACAGACATAAACCAGTTAAAGTGCACATTAAACAGGGCAGATATTAGGGTAGCCCCAAGGAGAGATCCAGCATACACATAGCTGCAATAAAGTAAACAATATTGATCAGAAACACTGAGCTGTATAGTGAAATAGTATTCATTATAAATAATATTTGTAATAGTTACCCTAAATGTTGATCAATACTTTCATCTTCAACAAATTTTATAAGATTGTTAAGAAGGATTGGCCCAGCAAATCCTGCCATGTCGGAAATTAATTTGAGTATACCAATACTGTAGAACTGTATGCCAAAACATGAATGCAAAGCACGCAGAAGTGTTACATTCTGGCGGCGCGGAGAACGGACTAGAACTCGTGTTGTAGGCGTTACCGGGGTAGATGCTTGTGGCGCTGTTTCTCCTGTTGCACCATATCCTGCTAATTAATAATAAATACTATATATATACTATATAATCTATTTAAATATGAATTACAATATTTGCTATCTAGCTATTAGATATGTGTGAATGAATAATAAGATAACATTCATAGATTATTTACAGACTGGAGTAAGATAATAACAATGTTAATGAATTTATATTTACCGGATCCTATGAAAGGCTCATGTGGTACTTCCTCATACTGCTGGTAGTTGTCCACATTTCCAATGAGTGCCCTGTCCATCCGAGCTCCCACATAAGAACAACAATATTTGGCTGGTACATCAAATAGTTCCTCAGGATCATTAAGTTTATTTTCTAACCCTACAAAAGAACATATAGTATTATGAAAAGTTTTTACTGCCAATGAGCAGACCCGTAGCTAACATATCCATTGTTATTTCTATTTTAACAATATAACTCATTAATCTAAACAAAACCTTATAAGTCAGAACAAAGATGACTCATAAAAATACTAATAAGTTACAACAAAAGAATTTCATTTATTTACAGCTAAGGAAATTAGATACCTTTCTGCAGTAGTGGATCTACCCATGAGAATGTTAGCCTTGATAAAAATCCAGCTCCTTGCATAGCAGTCCCCAGTATACCTTCATCCATATGTGGCAGTAAGGGGGTGTACTCACTCTGTTGACAAAATGACCACCATCAACATTATTATAAAAATACACAGTAGTTCTTTACCAAGTACCTTATCACATACATTATTGACAAGAAAAAAATGTTTGTTTACTACCTAATTAGGTGTTGTTATAACATAGCTGTTAGAATTTCTGTGATAGTACAGTTATTGTGCATAAATAAATCATTATTATAGTTGTCAACTTACATGTGTATGTTGTGAACCAACCAGGCATGGTGAGTAGAATGTGGGCCTCGAATTACTTGATGGAAGCAGTGTCATAAAATACAGTATATGGCAGCATATTGTAGCAATATTGAAACTCATAGTGGCCCCGGTTATTATACTGCTCCGCAATGCCACCACATTCACAAAAACTGCTAAGCTCCACATTAACAGCTGAGAAGTGGGTCCGCGGGCACTCTGTCCCAGTCGGTGTTTTAACGCCAACACATACCCGAAGTGAAACAGCCACGCGAGGCATGATGCACCAGCAGTAAAGTAATTTACAGGATACAAAACAGAGTTAGGTGTTGTAATAAGAACATATAACTCTATAATAGGGATAAAAACTAAAGCTAATACGACAAAACTTCGAAATACTATTGCCCTTTCCTGAGCTTTTTCTCGCACAACCCAGTCTTTTCTATATCCCACATAAAAACCTGATATGATAGCAATAATAAAGAATACTGGTATTTGTATAAATAAATCCTGGAAGCATTGTCCAAAGTCTTTTGTTACGTCGTTCCATGGCTTTAGTCCCTGGGGACCGCACATAAATTCCCATTGCCACTGCATTTTCAATTATCTTTACTTAGATAAAAACTTTTATCACCACCACTGTTTCTGTTGTAGTTTTTGTCTTTTGCGATTTGAAAACATTTCGTTATTGTTATTAACTTTATAAACGGTAATAGAACAGATTGGAATTAAATTCGGAACCTTCCGGAGACTTGTTTAAAGTCGGGACTTTTTCTAAGGATACCTATTTATTTACAAGTTTTGATTTGATCACAGCATTATGATGAATAATGTAGGTACTGTCAAGTGTCAAGTGCCAAGTAAAAGGGAAACGTCCAAATCTGTCAACTAGAGTGAAGTATTGTTTTGAAAATAGTTCTCCGGTAAAGTTGACCATTCATCATCCAGCTCAACAGCAAATACTTGAAAATTATCTCTCTTCGATTTAGTAGGAAGCTAGTATGTATAATTATTTATTGAATATTTATTATGTTTAACTGTGTTTATTATTCTTGATTGCACATTTGATGCTGCCATGCAACTTGTCGCGAGTTCATTTTCCGGGTCAACTGTTTGTGTGACCTACAAATTATTTTTCCGGGTCTGCACGTATTGTGTATGTTTTAACAGTTGGGAAAAGATAATATAATAAAAGTATCAATTATTACCTACATAATTTTGTAGATTATGATTTCAATTTTCTATCTGTGGATGGATACTGTGGAGCTGAGAGGTTGAAATTGGTTGACGTTAAACGTAGTGGTTACATACTCTTTGATTGACGTGTTTGTTTTGCTATTGCTTGTCACTCGTGAACTCGTTGAATCATTGAAAATTAATATAAATCGTTTAAAATAAACAGGAAAAAAAAACAATATTCTACTACATTTGGACTGCTGATGCATGTTATGAAAGAGCTTTTTGAAACTTGTAAGTTTGTCGTTAATTAATCGGAAATAGCAAAACACAAGAAAGGAAACCTAGTGTTTAAACCGAACAATGGAGTCGAATGACAAAAGCAAACCATCAAATGAAGTAGAAGAAATTGAAGAACTTGATGTCGATCCTATTAATGATATCGTCGACTACTTAGTAAGATGTGCTAAAATTTCTTTCAAAAATGCACATGTTAATGAATCTGAAGTTCGAACTAGTCAAAAAATAAAAATGGCTTGTGAAATATATAAACGATCGCCTACTGACTTTCTGTTGCAATTCGGTAAATATCTTGCTCCACATCATATTGGTTACTTTGAAAATGTGCAATCTAATGCTGATGAGAGCTACCGCGAATGTATTAAACAATTAAAATCTTACCATTCCGAAAAAACTAGAAATAAAAGAATACGCAATCGACGATACAATGCGTTACAGAAACTTCAAAACGAAAGTGATTATTTTAGTGAAAAACAAATGATGTACAGAAATCCATTACTTTATGAGCAACTAGTTGGCCAGTACTTGACTGATGAGGAGATCAGGGAGCGTGATGGTGTGGATAGTGAGAACCTAACATTTCTGAGTATGATTTTGGAAACAGTTGATCGAAATGAAATGAGAGAAATAAAAAATGAACAAATGCTTGAGGAAGACATGGAGTCTATGAAAATAACAAAAACTGAACATAAGAGCAATTGCAGTGAAAATAGCAAAGAAAAAAAGAAAAAGCAATGGGGTGCATTTGATACTCCAGATACAAGACCAACTTATATGCCTGAACCTAGAAAGCAAAGTATGATCACTGCTCCAGAGAGGAGACTTCTAAGGGAAGAATTTTTGCAAGAAATGTTCTCTAGTTTTATAGAGGGTAGAGATGAGGATATTGATTATCAAAGTATTGATAACAATGAGCAGTATGATGATCTCCAGCAAGTTTCACAAGATGCTGAAGACAGATACTTTGACTCTGAAACAAATGAGATTGAGAATCTTGAAGAACATATGAAACTTGTCCAAGAATATGGAAGAAAGAATTCTACTAGTAGCAGTCAAGATGATCCATTAGACACATTCATGAAACACATGACTAATAAACAAAATATTACATAAACTGCTTTCTTATTTATTAATTTATATAATTAACTTTTACTATAAATATAATTAACTTTTAACTTTTATGAGTATTTACAAACTTTCTTGACAATATGATCGCATTGTGAATTTGCCATGTAAACACTTACCCTTTTCACAAAATATTTAAAATGTCGAATGCCATGCTTCAGCACTAGTGGTATTACGCTGTGCTTGCTCTACCAGTGAGCTACTGCAAGATACGGCGTAAAACATCCCCAGCATTCTGTTTCGCTATATGAGTTAGGTTACCGGAGGCCCAATCTGTTCCATCCCTGAACCCTCACCAATCCTAGAATCCCTAAATATACAGTATACAGTAAGTGTAGAGGTATTATAATAATGTACTGAATCAGTCTTTAATATAATAGCACTGATATTTTCCAACATTAATTCTCTCATCCCACTACCATTTTTGAAAAGGTAGGCAATGTAGGTCATGGTAGATTGTCTGCATTCCTGAAACAAACGCCTATGCGTCTGTTACGCGATTATCAGCAATGCCTGTCCTATTAGCATTACGGTGATGTCAGGAAAAGTAATCAGAAGGTCGTTCGATAGTTTTGGTCTCCAATTCGGTAGCACCTCTCGTATCGCTCGTATCGCTAGGATCTGTCCTAAAGCGACGGAAAGTACGAGAGTTACTACCATTCAACTAGAGGGAAACGACTACCGGTAATCTATCAGTTAGTTATCTGGTTCTCCGCTTAGTCCTGCTAGGAGCGAAGTATGAAAATATAGTTAAACAGTAGAGTTGCGTATCGATTCATTGGTTGCGGGTAGGACTCGCCTTGACCTGTAATGGCTACCTACACTTATAAGAGTTTTCAAACAGGCTGACTCGTTTATTATTATATAACAAAATCTTTGAGATCCTCTGTCTTGCTAAAATTGATTACTTATACCTACCTATACTTATAAATTATCGCACATCCTGTTTTAAAATTTAAAGAGACATTAAAATTTTACCTCTTTAACATAAATTAAAATTGAAAAAAAACCTGCAACGTTTTCCAGGGAGAAAAGGCTTTTTTCCGACGTCAAAGAGTAAAGTAATACGTATAATGGGTCCGACGTCGTGGGTGCGTTTACAAATATACTTACAACTTCGTATACACATCATACCCAGACCTGGAAAAACAATTTGTGAATCTAGAGTTATTCCGTGCGCGACTCGAACCTACGACACGTTGCGCCGCAGCCAGCCGCTGCCGCTGCGCCAACCGTGCAGTCAAATTCAAACTGTAGCAAATGTTTTAATCCAGCACCCAGCACCACATGTAAAATATATTTCACTGAATTTACATGACTATTTATGTCATTGATACAAATAATAATACTATAGAGGCGTGTGTTATTATGTGTTGAGTTAGCACAGCATTACAATACAACGTATAAACAATTACGCTATGCCTACATGAAACGGAGTAAGTAGTTAACGTTCACAAACATCAAATATTTTTTCGATCACCCAAAGTTCCCTTCAAAAATCGAACCCCACTATTAACACGTCGCGCACTGGTTGTCACCTACCACCTATCAACCCTTTTTTGGTGAGGGGAAAATCATCAGGGGAAAATGACTTCTCCCGGGTTTTACTGCCTAAAACCCTCTGTTCCTTCTCCTGCTCTAGGCCGCGGTGCTTAGTCGATATAATTACAAAATATAGGAACCAAGTTGCACATTCGTGCCATGAAACCTTTAAATATTCTTGGAAATTGATTGAGATAAGTCCAGTGAATTTGTCTCACTCAACTTCAAACTACCTACTAAAATATTATTATGAAATACCTTTAGGTATATCCTTTTGTCGCAAATGCACTTTGAGCTTAAATAGACTATCTAGTTCTGATAATTTCTTAACATTTCATGTAGGTACATGGTGTCCTAATAAAAAAGTTTTAATTATCTACGAAAGTTCTTGCCCTACAGGAACCGTGTACGAAGTTTTTTCTCTCCTACACCTGAAAAGTCGTCCTTACTCGAAGGTCTCAAATTAGTACTGGCACGTCCACACTAATTGGTTACATAACTTCTGTTATATAACTATAATAAATTAATTTTATATTTGGAAATGTTGCACAACTAAGTTAGCATTAGCAACGCTTGTAACTTTTCTATATCTATAGAAGTAGTTAATTGATCGTTTCGAATAATGTTTGCGTTTCACTGGCACGACTACCTAACGCATTTGTTGTTGTGGACTCTTTCTAAGGTAGCCGATGCGTGGTATGCATACTGAGAAGTGAACTGCAAATTTCACATACCTATCTAACTTACACAACTACTTAGGTACAATGTTTTTGTTAGAAGTATTACCTAGTCTTATTTCTCAAAGAAATGTTTTAAATCGGCGCTTTTGCTTCCATAATATTTGTACAAGGAATTATTTATATTATGTTCAATATTTGGTTTATACAGGTAAGTAGTAGATACATAAATTCATAAAATATGAATGGTTTCGTTGTGAAGGATGTTACTGAAGTTTTTTAAGTCCTTATTCTTTTTCAATATTTTCGAAATCTTTAACAAGCCCCAAAAGAACAACAATGCACTTATAACTTTTTTATGATTTAGGAGACGTTTGCAAAGCTTGTGCTTATGCTGGTGCGTGGTTTCAAGACTTTTGTACAATTAGGTAGCTAAATACGCGAGATCAGTATCAGATGACCTAGTTAAAATATAATTATTTAGCAAATTAGCTCAGATAACTATTTGCAATAAGTAAGGCTATACGTGTATAGTAGCATACAATAAAAGTTACTGAAATATTTTGAGATCAGGTAATAAGTGAGTATGTTGGTCAGTGGCGAGGCAATATGTACGATGGCCGGCGGCGCCTGCGCGGGTGGGCGATGGCCGACGCACGGCCGGCAGGTCACCGGCAGCTCCGTTGTATTGTCACAGTGTAATGGTTAACATACAGTCTCCATGTCACCCCATTCCGTAACTACATTTGCATACAATGCTGCTAAGATAGCGGTTCCAAAAATAAAAATATGAAACCAAACATCAGATTAAAAGTATAATGAACAAATTTTCAATAATGAGGTCAGTTAATGCACATTCAATTACGACTCCTTTTCTAACCCTCTTACGAATGTAATCTTTTAAAGATATGAAAATGATCTTTAATTCTATAAATCCACGAGCAGTAAGGTAAGGTTGGCTTTTGGTTTCCTCGTACATTGTGTAGGCCATTCATAAATACGGGTTACTTACGGATACCCAGCATCGGCGTTCCCGGAAAGTGAAAGTTTAGAAACATCTATTTCAATGTTTACAAGAACAACGACGACTGTTTAACAGGAAATCGTCGTCATGAAATTCTTCTGTCAAATTACAAGAAGGTTAGTAAGTAGCTAATGTTAGATTTTTGTTCACCGGTTATCTCAGCATCATATTACGAAAGACTTTCAAAACTTTAATACGTCCTATGAAATTTGTTGCATACGCATTATTGTTAGAGAATTGGCTTTTGATTTGCATGTCTGTTAATCGTTTGAGTATAATTGAAAAGCATTTTTGTGTTGGAGATGTCGCGGGCTCATGTGTCGGATCGAGTGAGGCGCGTGCTCACGTGCGCTATGAATGGAGCGCGGCCGCAGACGCAGACTAGGCACAGACGTCGTGCGGGAAACGCGCTCGACCGGCGCGCGCGCAATCTGTGACATTCGTGTATAGTGTGGTCCTTCGCGACGGAAGTACGAACAACATGATTTTGGTAAGTTCTATTTTTTAATCCTTTATTATAAATGACTCAGGAGAATATACTCTGTTTACTTAAACCTGTTTATTCTATTCAGCCTAATAAAGCGGTAAACAAAAGGTTTTTTAAATTTTTAGAAAACTAGGTTTATGTCAGTATTTTTTTATGACGGCTTTAACACAATAAAAAATCTTGATATATTTCTTACTTTTTTTTATAAATTACGCCCGGCTCTTCGAATAAGAAATACATCCTTATTTCTGCGTGAGAACAAAAGACATCAACGCGCGAAAGATGTCGCTTAACCTGTGTGCGAACATTTTGTAGTACCTAGTGCTAATTATTTAGGAGTTTTTATTTTGTACCTACTGTAATTTGCAAATAATTAATTATTAGTTAAATTATTACTGTTCTTACTTTTATCATATACCTACTGACTAAAGTAAAATCTATAACTTACATATGAGTAGGTAAATATCTATAAACAGTGAGAAGTGCAAACACATATAAGACGTATTTGATGTGGTGTCTAAACGAATACACTAAAACCGGTCAAGTGTGGGTCAAAGGCGCGCAATAAAGTTTTGCACCAGACAAGTAAATTGACTTGTCTATTTAATTCTAGGCAAGTGCTTGAAGAAATTTCCTAAATAAAAAAAAATATTATACTTTAAAATAAAATATAACAACGTGACGTAATTCTGGGAAATCACATCTATCCATTTGACATAATGCGTCAGAGACAGAAATTAGTTATCACAACTTTTTTGCTTTAGTAGGTATAAAGTTGGTATAATATATGAATAAACTTACATAACTATAATAAGTATACACAAATTGTGTAATATTATTAATATTACATCAGGTTCCGATTTCCGGTAGGTATAACATATAAGAAATTGTAAAAAATACGATTAATTTAATAGTTTTACAAAGATTAAGATTTGAAACAGCTAAATTGCTTTCTGATAAACTTTTTTATTATTTTTGAACTGGTCGGTTAGTAATTGTTTTAATTGGTATCTGATACACTTACGGTCACAATACGTTGTAAGTAGATGCTGAAACCTGAAACATAAAGTTTAGTTACCTAGGTACTTAGTATCGCAACCTTTGTCGCTACAGTTGTAGGCACTGCGTTTATAGGTCTACGCAAACGTAGCCGTGACAATTCGCATTTTAAAACCGCTCTACTTGTCTTCGCAAAGTGCGTTTAATGTTCCTTTGTGTCTGTGTGTTTGTTTAAAGCAACATCATTCTAAATTATTTT